GAAAAAAAAATCTTCCCGGTTTTTTACTTGTTTGCTCGTTTGAAATGTTTTAGTGTTCAACATACAAAACGGAATGTTAACACGTTCATTAATTTGTAAAGAACTGAGATCAAGGGACTCAAGATGATCTCTCACTTAGAGAAATGGTTCCTTGTATCTTATTATAATATATGAAAATTATATTTCGTTTTATTTTTTGTTTTGAAAATCTTGTTGACCTCTTGAGGAAAAAATTACACGTATCTTCTTACTACAATGGAAATTAAAATATTACACAATCGATTAAAAATTATTACGATGATTGTAATAATAAACCCCTTAAACAATTTCCCTGTTTTGCGTTTTTTTGAATGAATTTAATATTTATTTTAGTAGTGGGAAAAAGGCGTTTTTTTTTAATTTGCAAGAAAGGAAATAAAAGTATATTTATACACCGTTTTACTAATACATTTCTTTTACAAGTGTGGTCAATTTTTTAAACGTACTAATCATTAGAAAAATATATTCTTAGTGATGACTAACACGATAAACGCTATAGAGTTAATTAGGCTTTTGGAAATTACTTTTTTTCATGCTGTAAGATTCTACGTATACGATACACCGATAACCTTACATGCTCCAAATCAAATAGTGATTTTTTTTAATAGATGACTCTCATTTTGAAAAGTAAAGGAATGTATGAATTTTAAATTTCTTACACAGGCTTATTTCATGAATTTGTGAAATATATAATTTAAGAAATGACTGTCATGGATTTGAAAAATAGATGAATGTTTCAACTAATAAGTCTGATTTAAGAATCTACTCAAGTGATAGTGTTTTGAAAAATAAGTCTGCAATGAAAATTAAAGTAAATATCCGTCAAATATGTACTTGAAGATGAAAGAAAATACTCTGTACTTATATTTTGAAATATTTTTTTCAAATACATATCAACTGAAAATTTGTCAAACGATATATTTCCCAGCAAAGCTTGGATAAAAAAATCATCTTTTTTATCATGTCGTAAATAACGTCTTAGTTGTTTCTCTGTATGTGTAGAGTAATGTTCGGGTGATTGTGATTTAAAAAATGAGAAACTCTGAAGGGAAATTTAAACACCTGCTTGCTGATTGTACCACGTGAAATTAAATTAACTTTTAAATCATTACAACGAAATGTAAATTTTAGTTTTGCATGCTTGTTTTGAAATGAAAACAGATCGAATTTAATTATTCGGTTTTTTTTTCGAAAGCGAAATAAAATGAAAAAGGCGAAGCTAACAAATAGTGATCGATCTCAAAAAAATATATAAACAATACAAAATTGTGAACAGGACATGAAACAAGATCCCCAAGAAATTCCAGAGATGGGATTGGGTGCCTAGGAGAAGTGATATTCCCCTGCTGACCGGCCACATCCGTAATGAATCCTATGTATTGATCAGGTAAATGGAACATTTCGTCGTCAAAATTAGTATGAAAACAAAGGCCTTATAATTGGTATGAAATACTTCAACCAAAATAATCCCCGATGATAGGTTACATTTCTTAACAAGGTCATTATAACGAAAGTAGAATTTACGGAGTGCTGACTTTTAAGGATGATGTTGAAATTTCTGTAACTAATCATTCAGTAGCCTACCTCGGTTTAAAAACTGAGAGCATGTTCTTGGTTATCGAATAAGTTTGGATAAGCATACACCATGTGCAGGTAATAGCGGAATGTTACTACATCAAAAAAGAAAAGTTGACGAAGGAAAAACTGAAGTCATCTCGTTCGTTTTAAAAATTTTTTTATTAGTTGGTCCTTATTGTGTAAAGTTAGTAAACATCCATATATTAAACAGATGTGGCAAACTCTTGGTGCCATTATTTCAAGTTCCCTAAGACATATGAATGGAATTACATCTATGTAGTTTTAATTGATAAAACGTCATATATCTGAAGTAGAGTTGAAGGCCGCGGCAATTTTTTCTTCTTCTCATGTAGAAGCTTTTAAATAAAGTCTTCTTTAAAGGAATATAAATGTAGGTCGGCAAATAAAGGTGCACAATTAGTACCCATTCAAATTCAAACAGTTTGTTGGAAGACCTGGTCTCCGAAGAATACGTAAATGTTGTGAATGAGGAACTCCAGTATCTTTTGAATATCAACTTTGGAGTACTTGTTGCGTAGAATCAGAGTGATTTTTAACAAAGTAATTTTATCGATGGCCAATCAGAATTTCCCAGTTCCAGTTTTATTGAAGAAACAGTTGTCTATAATATCAAAAAGCTTAGCTTTTGATTTATCGTGAGAAATGGTTGCAAAAAGTGTAGAAAACTCATACGTTTTGATATTATTAACTTTAGAAATAAAAAATGGTAATTTTAATTTTTCTTTATTTTTTTTTTTTTTTTTTTTTTTTTTTTTTTTTTTTTATGGAGTTTTTGAGAATCCGCATCTGATTTACACCACTTCTAAAATATCCTGTAGCAGAGTGCGTATGAACTTTTAACTTTTTAGCAGTTAATAGTTCTATAAGGAGTAAATATAGGGGCTTGATAAAGCATTTACTGGACCTGGGAATGTATCCTTCAGTTGTTTGTAAGGATTTGTATAAAGTTAAGGAATCCAGAAAAGGTAGGATAGATCCAACTCACCTTGCTTGACTGGAATGATAAAAATATTAAACATTGAAATGTGATTTTGAAGAAAATAAACCTTAAAAAGTAAACTATTAGTATAGGTTGGATTCCTGCCAGACGTAGAATGAAAGTCAAGTTCTTCTACGCGGGTATGTTAAGGAAATATATGGAGAAAACGAACAGTATTCAAGCTCAAAAGTCCATTAAACAATACAAAATAGGAGCAGAGCAAACACGGACCTCTAAACATCAGAGGTGGGATCAGGTGCCATGGAGGAGTGAGCATCCCCTGCCGACCGGTCACACCCGCCGTGTGCTCCTTGTCATGATCGGGAAATAACGGAAAATCCGTCGACAATTCAGTGTGTAAATAATGGCATAAAAGCCGAGGCGTTAGCCGAGGCTCTTATGTTTCAAACATCATTTCGAGACCGAGGAGGTTATACTGCATCATTCATGACAACAAAGACTTTATTTCTATTCTACTAACGGCTCTAAAATACAGTTGATCGATTTCTCTATAGAGAAACGAATTAGGTCACCATGTTGCAATTTCGCTGTTCCATTTAACACCAGAGGGTCAATCGATTGCATAAAATGCAGACGATTTCAGCTTTTGTTGGATTAAAAATATCCTTTAATTATTTATAAATTTGCTTGTAACATATATTGATTAATTTTTATGAATGAAAAATAACAAAACCAGTTGTCTATTTCATTGATTTATCAGTAAAATCACGGGAGTGTAAATGTTGTGGGGAGGTCCGTAGAACAGCCCCACTTGGTTATAAAACGGATATTTATCAGCTGTTTCAGGCAATACACACGTTTAGACTGCGGAAGACGACACATCGATGTGGTCTAAATAAGTATTAGCTTATACAGTGAAATATTAATTTCAACTGTACAGATTTGACATGTGTTTCTGATCTGATAATTTTTTGATGACGTTCGTGATTTATTGGAGAATAATGTCCGCGGCATTTCTTTGATCTCGGCAATAATCGTAGTAGAATTGTATATATTCATACCGTAGACGGTTTTGCTGAAACTACACCCCACCAGAGCAGAGATAAGTTTTGTTATGTGATTTTTTTTGTATTCATAACACATTCTCAAAACAAGAAGAAAACAATAAAAACAATTAAAATAGACACAGAGTAAATGGTTACTGTAGAAAAAAAATCAAATATTTGTGCGTAAAAATTTACAGATAGATTAAAGATAAAGCAGCTCTGTTTATTTTGGAGAGAGTCTCTTCCGTCAATGATACGTACAATGAAGTACACACCAATAATACAATATATTTAAGATACTTCATCTTACTTCAGATGATTATTTGAACACAATCAAATGTCTTTCTCTGGTTGTTAGTACTGGAATTAACGTTAATTAGTGGATTACTTTAAAGCAACCGCGGTGAGTGCAGGTTCCTAGTAGGTGAAAACAGAGAGTACGCAAATTTAATTATGTTTCTTTTTTAGGTGGCTTCATTTGAATATGTATCTTCGCTGGTCAAGGGTGACGGTCTGAGCGGATCGTCGTGCAATCTTGGCCAGCGAAGATGTTGGAAATGTTTCTTGAGCTATGAGGTCAGAGAGGCTTTCGTATTAAGACTTTTCACCAGGAGATTTGTCAACTTTCATAAAAAGCTTATTTACAGATGTTTTAGGATCACATTTTCGAATCATCAATGTGGACAAAAAATGAAATACTAACACGAAAAATGTTAAACCAAGTGAAATATTATTTTTCTTTTCGAAACCATTCAGATATTCTTTGCTAAGCCAAGATTATTGACATTGAAGCCTTGAGAATGTAATTTTTAAGTGATATTTTTCTTTCGTCAATGTCATACCAAGTGCTCCACTGAACAAACAAATTATACACTATGTATAGTTTTTTGGTATTATCTGTGATAAATTCTTATTGGTAACTATACATGTTATATAACAACAACAACAGAAATCATTTGATACTACGAACTATTCTAATGATTTGTCAATTTATTGAAATTTCCATAATATAGAAATGAAAATTAAACAAATAAATTCCATTTAGATAAAAGCCTTGATGTCTTGTTCCAAACGTACCAGACACTCAGGAAACATAAAACAAGTATCTCTCCATTTGTTGCTGTTTGTATCTCTTTGGTTGTTGATCAAATCTTTCTTCATCTTGTGAACATCCTCAATAACACAGATTAAGTGCAGATTCACTTAGGTGCACCATACACATTAAATTCTGAGCATACATACATTTAAAACAATGAATTATGACTATGTAAACATTAATATGATGAATAAAGCCTCACGTAATCCCCCTCCCCCCCCCCCCCCCAAAAAAAAAAAGATGTACATTGTAATCAAAATCCTAACAAAGTCTTTTGAATTTACTCCTATAAAAAAGAAAAACTTCAAACACAAAAATAATTATGTGAGTATATAAATGTGTCTCAGAGATGGTTTCAGAAATTTACATATATTTCTTCTGAGGAAATAGAGCGGGAAACCAAATGGTAACACTTCCAGTATTCTTCCTGAAAAAGACATGAATATCACAGCTTACGGAAAAGAAGAATTTTTGACGAAGTAGAAAAGTAGCTGCAAGTACACATTATATCAATTTCATTTAGAATTTGCAATCTTTATAACTTCATAAATCAAACAAGAGTTTGGATATTAATCGTTGTTAAATTAGTATTAATAATAAGAAATCAATTGATTTGGTTGAATGATTGTTTGTTGTTTAACGTCCCTCTCGAGAATTTTCCTCTCATATGGAGACGCCACCAGTTGCCGGTGGAGGGCTACAAATTTTAACCTATACTCGGCACTTAGGGTCATTGAGCAGTGAGGGATCTTTCTCGTGCCTGCACCTACTGCGACACGGGAACTCGGTTTATACGGTCTCATCCGAATGACCGGTCTCCACGTCCCGCAGTGGGATTCGAACCCGCGACGTAAGGATCAACTCCTTACTCCGAGACTCTAGAGCAGACGCTCTAACTACTGCGCCACGCGGGCGACGAAATCAATTGAAAACATGAACATCTATTTCCTCTTTCTACACTCACAAGCGTTGTGATGACTTCTGGTCTCCTAGTCTGCATCTGGCGGACTCTTGTAAATATATCCACCTCTTTATCAATACGGAGCTGTTGAATGGCGTTATGTAAAACACAGAATATACCGGCTGGACCAGCCCCGTTCCTTTGTAAAAATAAAATAATTATTTGGGAAAGAAACATCATATTTCTCAAATCATGGCATTAAAAAAAACACAATAAAAACAACAACAAAAAATTGCTCTGCAATGTATGTTAGGGCATCATTAAAAGTATGCCCCCCCCCCCGAACTTTTGCTATTCATGTCAAATGATATATTAATAATTTTGTATTGGAAACAAGAGCCATATTTTGCGAATGAAGATCTACTTCGATTAAGACAAAATTATTTCTAGCAGGTCCAATCTTATACGTATACCAAAGTCCTAGTCTTGTTAGTATGCATTCGTTAGCCTTATTTAAATTTGCCAGACACTTTTTGTACGTATCTCTGACCTTGTATCGAAACGTTTTTAATTGAAGAAATGGATGTTGCACATTCATTTCTTACGTAATACCCATAATATTCAGTGTTCCATTTTGTTTCAAATTAATCAAAAGAAAATTAAAAAAGGTCTCACGTTACCGTAAAGACACTTATATGTTGGTTTCCTATTCATGGAAATACTATCTTGTTTAAGTTTTTTTTTAAAATGTGTAACGAGAAAGGAAATAAATTTTCTTATGAAGAACAAAGTTATTTACAAGATACTCCATGTTTTTGATTAGATATGATTTTTTTTTCAAGCGTGCTGTGTGTTTTATATTCCCGACGTTTTAGCACATAACAGAAATAATAGAATTCAACTCAAGAGAAATTTTATGTTTTTTTAAATATGGATTTTTATTGTTGTATATCTTCTTACTTGCTAACGACAAGAGAAGTTGAAGTTGATGCATTTTCTTTCTCAAGTAGCATTTTTGCACATTTTACAAGAGCCTCGTCATTGCCAGATGATGTTTGGTAGATGTCAACATGCGCTTTTTGACCCTTATTAGTTTATGAAAAATAAAAAAAATAAAAATGTATTCTAAATGCAGTGTATGTCAAAGGTTGTATTCATTCGTTTTCATTAGAAACTCGGAAATCTTGCCATTACAAAGATACGAGCTACCGTCTTACGCTGATTGTAATCAGCAATCTATCTTGTAGAACGCCATTGATGTCACTTCCGGTATCTTTTGCCGTTATGGTAAAGGGCTGAGAGTGTCGTGTTTCTCCTCTGTTAGGCAACCAGTTGTTTCCCTTTGAATTAAGGAAATATATAATAATAGACTTTAGGAACAGGATTGGAAAAAAGAGTTCAGTAAAGATTACTATATTAGAATTATTTCATTAATATTTGTAAAACTAAATAAAAACATATACTAAGGATGTAAACTGAGGTAGGACTTTCTATAAAAAAAGAAAATGTTCAATGATAAAAATGGTAATGACATCCCAAATAAGGCGAAATTAACATACTTCGTCAGTGTCATTTAGAACAACTATTGCTGTTACTCCGTGGTCCATACACAATCGCCACAGATCGACCTCTGTATCCAGTAAAGGTTTTTGTGTCATAATAAATCCATTTTGGTTTGTAAATGTCTGAAATATATTTAAAAAATTACAGAATAAACCTCTCTCCTTTACTGTTCTTTTTACTTAACATGTTTACGGGAATAGACGAACACCACAGCCCCGCTCACGAAACAGACACACAAACCCTGCTTTTGAACAAAAAAATTATAAAGGGTACATACCGGAGCTATGACTGCATTTATATAGTCATTTCTTCCCTTAACATATGTTGTAAGGTAGGGTCGGTATTTTGTTACTGAAGAAAAGAATATGCATGGATCATTACATAGAGACATATTACAAAACAAACAAATACACTAAACAAAGAAACAGTGGGTACCTGGTAAAATGTCCATATCCACATTTTTAGCCATATTCTCAAGTTTCTTTGCATCTTCCTTAGATCCATTATCGTCAACGGTTTTGAAAACAGATACAAACTAGAAAAAAATGCATTCTTTAATAAATATGGCTTTCTTTACAAAAAAAGTTACACGAAAGCCATTATTCATGACTTCATGACTTTAATCAGGATATTTTCTGTGTGTAATGTCTTGATGCATTTTTAAACTATTGCAATTGTAGGTAAGGACTAATTAATGCAGTCATAGATTTGCTTTGTTGATGCTTTCATTCATAACATACAGGTAAATTAATTTTGTACTATTTTGAATAAGTGCAGGAAAAGTACCGCGGAATCAGATAAGGCAAGCCATATTAAACACTGAAATATGTACTTGTATACATGTATATACTCGTACAGAGTACTTGTTCTGCTGGTCGGTATATTTTCACTTACCTGAAACTCATTTGCTAAAGTTTGTTGATTAAAAGGTGAAGTATCATTCAGCAAAGTGAGTACTTTTGTTTGAAAGTCACGTTCAGACAGTTTGACTCCTTTTTCTTGAAATCCACAGAGTAGCGCCTTATGTAGGAACACGTACTGCTCCTGAAATTTATGAAGATTAACCAAAAAAAAAAAAAAAAGAAAGAAAGAAAATAGAACTTTCTTATTGTTTTAAGGTGATAAGGTTGGGATATGTTTAAAGACAAATATATATTACTGATTTTTAGGTCACCTGAGTCACTCAGGTGACCTATTGCTATTTGTTTTCGTCCGTCGTCGTCCGTCGTGTGTTAACATTTGAATATTTTCGGCTTCTCTGAAACCACTGAACCAATTTCAGCCAATTTTAGCATATGGCATCTATGTGTGAAGGGGAACAAAATTTGTGAATTTCATGGTCCCTGCCCCCCTGGGGGCTGAGAGGTGGGGCTAAAACCACCAAAATTAATGCAATCTTTAAAATTCTTCTTCTTTACTCCTAGACATCAAGCAGTCAAACTGTTGGCATGATTGTAATAAGCATTGAGCCCTCTACTAAAATCGTGAAATTCATGGCCTCAGGGTCAGTGGTTCTGGTGCTAGGGCGGGGCTATATAGATCATATAGTGAAAGTGCATTATTTCTTTGAAAATCTTCTTCTCTACTCCTGAGTATTATTGAAACAAATTGAATACATAGTTATGATAAGCAAGGGTGAATGTACCAAAATTGTGAAATTCATGGCCCCAGGGTCAGGGGTTCTGGTGCTAGGGCGGGGGTATATAGATCATATAGTGAAAGTGCATTTTTTCTTTGAAAGTCTTCTTCTCTACTCCTGGGTATTATTGGAACAGATTGAATACATAGTTATGATAAGCAAGGGTGACTCTACCAAAATTGTGAATTTCATGGCCCCAGGGTCAAGGGTTCTGGTGAAAAGGGGGGGGGGGCTCTATAGATCATATAGTGAAAGTGCATTATTTCTTTGAAAATCTTCTTCTCTACTCCTGGGTATTATTAAAACAAATTAAATACATAGTTATGATGAGCAAGGATGCCTCTTCCGAAATTGCAAATTTCATGGCCCCTGGATCAGGGGTTCTGATATTAGGGCCGGGCTTTATTTTATTATATAGTGAAAATGCATTAAAGCTTTAAAAGTCTTCTTCTCTGCTCCTGGGTATAATTTAAACAAACTAAGTACATTGTTATGATAAGCAAGGATGCCTCTTTCAAAATTGTGAAATTCATGGCCCCAGGGACAGGGGTTCTGGTGCTAGGATGGGGCTATATAGATCCTATAGTGAAGGTGAATTATTTCTTTGAAAATCTTCTTCACTGCCCCTGGGTATTATTTAAACAAACTAAGTACATTGTTATGATACGCATGGATGCCTCTTCCAAATTTGTGAATTTCATGGCCCTAGGGTCAAGGGTTCTGGTGAAAAGGGGGGGGGGGGCTCTATTGATTATATAGTGAAAAAGCTAAATTTCTTTGAAAATATTCTGGTTAAAAAGCAAAGAAGCTAAGTGTATAGTTATTATGAGCAAGAGTGCTTCTTTCAGAGTAGTGAATTGCATGACCCCTGGGTCAGATGTCCTGGTGTATGGGTGGGGCTCTTGATAATATAGTGAAAATGCATTAATTCTCTTAAATAATACTGTATGCTTCTTAGTGTTAAGCAGATAAACAAAGTAATTACTTATGATGAGCAAGCTTCTGGTCCCAGGGTGAGAGGGTCTGGTTTTTCTTGGTGGGGAGGGGGGGGGGGAGCTCTATTAATAATATAGTAAATATAGTGAATCTGTAGTATTAAAATGCAAATCGTCTCTGCACCTGGGCATATCAGAGGCAAAAAGAGTAAAAGTTTTAATAAGGAAGGGTATTTTTTACCAGATCTTTGAACATCTGGACCATTTGGTAAAGTGTTCTGGTCCTTGTCAGGGCTCTATTAATTTGTATTCTACTGAAAGGAGTTATTCCCCTTTGCCATTTACTTTTGATAATTAATCACTGTAAATAATGTACTTGAAAGGTTAATAGCATAGGAGAATTCTGCAAGAATTTTTATTGTTTAATACAGAAAGTACTTTCATAGTTTTAATGATCAGGTAGACTTGTAAGTAAAAGATAAATAAAAATGAGACAAAAATAACTTGTCTTATTAAATGTTCATCAAAGACCAAGACAGGCCAATGTAAGAGATATCAACAAGGAATTAAAATAGTACAAAAGCACTGATAGTTTGTTAATATACTGTATGGTGAGAGTGATAAATGGGGAAGAGAAAAGAACCTAATTTATGAACTGTTAATGAATACTTCACTAATTATTTTGTTATCTTTCTTTTGGGCAACAAAGGTTCACATTTCAGTTCATTTTATACTCTGTGGATTCTCTAAATTGTTGTATTATACTCAGGTGAGCGTTAAGGCCCTTGGGCCTCTCGTTTTAATATAATATACTCATAAGAAAATCAGATAATCTTACAACTGTTTGAACCATGGTCATACGATCCTCTCTCATTTGCTTCACAAACTCAAAAACGTTGATCCACCCCGTTTCTCTACCTTGTTGAAGTAATACATTCAGACCAATATATGTCCCCGTTCTCCCCACTCCGGCACTGCGAAATTTTCAAAAAGAATCAAAATTTGTCAAAAATTGTCAAAACGTGAAATTAAAAGTATATTTTAAAAATACCGCACTATCTGGAACTTACTTAAGAGACTAATAACATTAATTTTGACAATTTCCATATTAGAAAGCAATTCAAAAGCTTTTGGAATTATAGTATTATTCAGTTTTTACATATTTTACAAAAGGGATGTTGTGTGAAATTTTTTTTCCACTTACCTACTATATCCATTAACTTACCCACATCAATTAATAACTGAGGATCCTGGTTGATATCATTTGGTCACAGATCTGTGGAACAGACCAAATTCACTTACCTACAGTGAACTAATAACGGTGGACCTGGTTGATATCTCTTTGTCACAGTTCTGTGGAATTGGTTCAGTTCAATTTCACCAGGAGTGCCATGGTCTGGCCAAACTGTGTAATGAAACTGATTGATTGTTCTTACTTCCTCCGACTATAAATACAACAGAGACAAATAATTATCAACTCGCAACAAAGTTAAATAGGATAAAGTAAGATAGTAACGAGTGTGTGGGGAGTGAGTGTGTGTGTTGGTTACGAAATTAATCATTTACATCAAGGTGTACGTGCTATTTTGCGAAAGGATATTCCGCTTTGAGGTAACCTTGTTTTAAATAATTGAATGATCTAAAAGCAATAAAAAAGTTTTCATTGCTATAGGCAAAATATCTAAATACACACAGTCCGGATTAGACACGTTTAACTGTACATTAAAAATACATGAAAAAAAATAGGGAAAATACGTTTAACTGTATATTGAAATTACATGAAAAACTAGAAAAATTACGAAGAACAGATTTGATTTGTGTGATGTTCAATATCATATAAGTATAAATTTATTCAGATCCTGTTTTAATGAATATTTACCAAATTATTATTAACCAAATGTATTTTTGTTTACTTAAAGCAATTCATTGTCAAATTTGTAGAAATGATGTAGCTTTTATGTAAAGACTTACTTTTTTTCTCTGGATTGAGAATTGTCGAATCGTATAGAAAGCATACGTAGTTTCTTCCAAAAGACACACTTTACATGGACCAGACACCATTGGTTGATTTCTATCTGGCCAATATTTCGCGCACTTATTCTGAAACATAACATATTTAAGGCAAATGCTAAGTGTTTGACAAAGAAGAAAGTGATTGCAAAAATAGCAAAATAATCACAGTATACCTTTCCATTCTCAACAAGATTTGTCAACATGATAATGCAACCAATATTCTCTTGCCAAATCATTCTCCAAAAATCTTTCAATGTATTTTTTTGTGGACCTGCATGAAAAACAAACTAGAATAATTTCACAACATTCAATAAATTTCATAGAATATTTCTTTTATTAGAAAAATTGAACTCAAGCATTTTACGACAAAAGTGCAGTTTAAAACAGTTTATGTCCTAACAAAGAATTACTATAGTTAACTATAGTAAACTAAAGTTCACTATAGTTAGCAATAGTAAAACAAAGTATAAAAATTTCCCCATAATTAATCAAAGTTTCAAACTGTTTACTATAGAAAATAAAGTTTCCAAGTTAATACTACAAATAATTGTAAATCAAAGTATCAAAATTTCCAATATAGTGAATCAGAATTTCAAACTCTGCATTATATTTTATCAAGTTTTCACTATAATTTTTTTTATCATAGTATCAAAGTTTACACGACAGTGAATCTAAGAATCAAAGTTTGCACTTGATTAAAGCAAAGTTTCAAATTTTTCACTTGTTTATATATATATATATATATATATATATATATATATATATATATATATATATATATATATATATATATATATATATATATATATATCATCATCATTTTAAAAGTAGTTAGTTCCATAGACTGGGGCATCACAACAAAGCAGTGTATATTCTTTTTTTATGGGGGGAGTGTATCTCCAAATTTTAATTTACAACATTTTTTTACTGCAAATGCAATATTGTTATTTCTGATTTACTTGAAGAAAATTCTTATGAAAAATAAGAAAAATGTGAGGGAAAAAATCCGAAAAATGTTAAGTGAAGTTGATGGAGCAGGTAGTTTGCTAAATCACACGAGTTTTATTCTATATTTTCTTTCTCCATGAAAATAAAACTTTAATTGAATCGGAATTATATTTAATTATTTTTTAATTAATGTTGCTAATAGTCAGTCTTTCGAATGGCAAGATAATGTCATATTAAACCTCATATTAAAAATAATAGCATCTATTTGTGTATACAGAATAGATGCCTTTATTTTACGAGAAAAGTATATTTGCAGGGACCTATATACTAGTATATAGGTCTCTTGTACGTTGGCTTTTAAGAGTCGGGCTTGGATGATACAGCAAGTGGTGTCTTTATAAAGGGTGGGGTTTGTTCTTCACAATCCTTTCTGCTGAACCTTTCAAAGGTAAGGACACATAACAAATGCTGGCAAAGAATACATCTAATTTTTGCTTTGTAATTTTAAAAAATCGTATAATTGTTCCATTTATGAATTGTTTTTCAACCATTTTAAAGCTTTTATTACTGTTGATGTTAATTAAATAAGGCGGATGATGTTGGATTCAAAATGTTTACGAAGCAGACGCGGTTATGCCAAAAAATAATTAATTTACCCTTGTATTGTTATTAAATAATCAAATATTGATTATCAACATTAATTATTGTCCCGTTTCATACTGCGTCGAAATCGGAAAATGCAAACCCAGAATAGGGGAACAATAATATGGAAACTCGGTCGGACCTTTTTTGTGGACACAGTGAGGATTGGCCTAAATATAATTCAAAGAAAAGAATAGCAAATAATCTGTGAACCAGTTGGAAAACCAGGCATTAAATATATGTATCATCACAATCCAATATATCAGGTACATCCACAACCTTTGAAATACATAAATCAGTTGAATGTGTTAAATAGATTAATCTTTGCCATTGTAGAATGAGACCAAAATATAAGCAATAGTCTGCTAATACAGTGTATAGATATTGCTTCTAAAAATCATTGCTTAAAGTGGTTCTTTTCAAACTTAGAGTGTAGAATTTATTTATTTATTTATTTTCTAAAGAAAAGGAGGGGTTTACTAAGGAAAAAACTATTAAGTTTCAAACAAAAGTACCAAAAAGTCAAGCTGAGAACAAAATATATTTAAATATAACTACCAGTAAATCCTACAAAATTATGTTACAATAAATAATCTTTCAAAAAATACATTCAAATCATCTTATAATTTTACCATAGAATTCTCTCAAAATAAGGACAAAAGACTTGCATTTGCCTGGAATTGTTCAAAACTAGGGTCAAAATAATTCAATAGATTGTGCATAGATGCTATTGTTAGGTCACATTGTACAGCAGCCTTAACTTTGCCATATGTCCGGTTATATTAGTAGAATGTTCTGGACCTATTATACATTTATATTAGGTTTCTATTTGTGAGAGGATTAAATTTAGTTTTTGCATAAATTCAGGTACTATGTAATATAACAGATACAATGTTCTGTGTAATTGTAAAAGTAGAACTTGGTGAATATTTCGAATCCAACTATTAGGCACTACTTACAACAGGGCTCAGACTAAACAATGATTTGTTTGGAGAAACAATTAATTTATGAAAGCATCAGAACCAAAGAAAGCCCTTAAATTCTTGTTTCATGAAAGAATTTGTAATTAAAGTTAGAGCACTAGATTATAAAAAAAATCTCTAGTATGTGATGAATTTAAATAAAAGGGGAAAATGAAACCACCTATCTTGCCCAGAGAAGAGTATTGTTATATTTATTTAAATGCTCCAGAGCTTTCCTAGCGTTCAGTGCTTTGTATTCATGACATTTTAGACTAATGTTGTGAAAAGGAGGCTCTGATATATAGGTAAGTCATAAGATCAGTTGCATATCATAAGTTATTACAGATCTACACAGCTTCCAACTCAATATATATATGACTTGAAACAGGGGGATCATAATTGTGTAGGGTGTGGGAGCAGTAAACCTCTAGAAAGGGCCTTTCTCAAGTCTCGTATCTTTAGGTGCTCTCATTTAGGATTCTATTTGCTAGCTATTAAAATTGGAAATGAAATGATCTTATAATACAAAAAGGGGGGATTTATCATTGGTTAACCACGTAATTTATCAATCTCATATTAATTAAGTCTGAATAAAAAGGAAAATGCAAAATATTTTTATATAAACATCCAATTTCTATTACTGGAATTAGGATATCTATGTTATGATCCTGTAAACTCCAAATCAAAGGTTGGAAATTGCAACATCTTGTACAAGAATGTTTTTGTGATCACTTATTAATGAATACTTGTATATCTTAATGACCAATTATTAAATCAAAAAAGTCAACACAGTCAAATCTCATTGTCTTGAACTTATGGGACAAGAAATAACTTTCAATGAGATGTCGGATATTTGAGATGTTAAGGGTAGAATGCTTGAGGAGTAGTTGTCAAGCTGAAGTAACCATGTAATTTAAGATATCAGTATTCCAAATACCAAAGTTAAAATTACAATTACTACTGTAAAGCAATTAAAACTTGTAGAACATTCATCAGATTGTATGTTGCAAAATGAATATATGGTCTTATTTTAACTATATTTAGTTGTCTTTAGACATCAGAAGTGACCAAAAGAAAGACCTTGTCAAGTACATGTAACTTATATTCTTAATAATGTAGCAATTGTTTCTCAGAAGAGCCCTAGAAGGATGCTTAAATTTTGTAATTTTACACAGATAATGCTGATTGTTTGACTTCGGGCATTGGGCTTACATTTTAAGGTGTTTGGATCTGAAAACTCCTAGTAGGGTGCTTATATTTAGTAATTTTGTACATGTATATAATGCTGATTCTAAGACTTCAGGATGTGCATTTGGTTTACATTTTAATGAGTTTGGTTTTGTTTTTAATCAGAAGCCCAGAAAAGTATAATTTCTTTTTGGATCAAGTCCATATTGATAGCAGTACTAGTTATATTCAGGCTCATTGCATATGAAAATATATCTCCAATTGGTGTCATTAATAATCAAATATCTATACCTAAAAGAATTTCATACTTAGGTATGCATTTTGTACTACACTGGAACAATATGGTCATGCAGAGCTGTATAGAGTTCTGATCGACGCACATACATGTGTCACAGGCATTAATAATGTTAATGAAAGACTCTTTATCAGAGATAAAGGAATTAGAACATAAATAAGATTAGTTAAGTATACTAGTATTGCAAACATTTGTAATAAAATTGCAGCCAAAAATCACAGGTTCAAATAGGCACCGTCAAAGTGCCAGATATCTTCATTGCAGCTAAACTGGTTATTGGTAAGTATAAATTTGAATAAACTTGTTACATGTATCAGGTAATGTATCTTTTTCTAGGAATATCATTATAAGACCAGTATATGTTTTCAAAATATCATTATAATTGACAGTTCTACAACAATTGGTAACCATCACTAAGTTGTGTGATATATTCTTATAATTGCACGTGTAATCCACATTCGGGTTGGGAATCTCCCAAGAAACTAAATATTTGAGTATATATAGGAATATAGTAAGATTCAACCTTGAAACTGGAGTTTTTGAAATGTGATTAAGGATTTCAAATAGCTCTGATTAAATTTGCTAATTAGAGAGTGAATGTGTCACCTTCGGTGACATGAAACTTGGTTCAACAAATAGCAGCATATGCATTGGCTTTCCTAGCAATTTTCATGGATTGAGAATTATGCTATATGTAATGATAATTAATGAAACTCCCCCTATTTGGTTATAAATCTCCAGATATTTGTTTTGATGAATTACAACCATGTATATAAAACTTGCCTTGGCTAATAGACAATTCAAAACAAAATTAACAAGCAATGGTAAACTTTATGTAAATGCATTGCGAGGTGGCATATATATTTGTAAATCAGGATAGTAGGGAAGTTTCTTTCTACAAGACCAAAGCTTTATTAGGCATTGATATATATATATATATATATATATATATATATATATATATATATATATATATATTATATTATATTATATCACAATATCAAGTCTCGTTTAAAGTCATCATTTCGTAAGTTCCAAGCTCGATACAAAGACCTTGTCAGCAAATAAAATCTGTCACTAAGTCAAATGCTGACTGATGTTTTTCATACTTCCTGGTAGTTGTTAGAGCATTATTTACACACTGAATTATCGATGGATTTTTCCGTTATTTCCCAGTTATGACAAGAAGCACACGGCGGGTGTGACCGGTCGGCAGAGGATGCTCACTCCTCCATG